TTGGAAGCTTGCCATAACTCGACGTAAAGTATTCCCTGGGACATTGCTGACGGCAGTTCTGATGCGATCCTTCAACTCAACTGATCCTTCAACTCAGGATCCTTCAACTCAGGAATGGTGGCACAAAGTGTTCGGAAAGCTTCTTGCTTCAGATGGCCCCAAAGTAAAAAGTCTGCACATGAAAGATCAGGTGAGCAAGGCACCCAGGAAATGTCACCAAAACGAGAAGTTACTCTACCTGGAAATGTCTATCGCTATGGTCCGTCCATCTGGAACTTTCCCATGACGTCCCAAGTTTAAATGTTGCCGAAATAGACGCTGGGTAGTAATAACAGAATTCTTGAAATAACTTTCAACAACAAAGGCACGATGCTGTGCACTCCACCGATCCATATCACCGTCACACTCAAAATGGCAACTCATTAGTACATGAAGGCGGCACGAGCTGGCGTGCATTCATGCAGTACGTCATTGTACTACACAAGTCAAATTACGCTATGAACACTGCCACACCCTGTATTTGCAACATTCGGTGTAACATGTTTCTTAAAGCTAATTTTCTTTTGTAGCAGGTGCACAAAATCTATTTCTATGTTGATCTCAGTGTGTTTGTTCTTAGTCATTATTTTATTTGGCTTATGTTTTTTTAACTAACTTATTTTATACTAGATGTTTCCATTTCTACATGTTAACAAGATTTACGTTTACTCTGTGGGAAAATGGAACTTGCTTTTGAAAAAAGTTGAACAATTTGAATAATTATATAAAATTTTCTTTGTTGTATTAGGTTACACATTACATGTTAGCATGCATTTTTAAATGACAAATTATCATAAAAGTTAATCAAATCAAATAATAATATATAATAAAAGTTAATATGGTTTAGAGCAGGGGTCCCTAACCTTTTTGTCCCTAAGAGCACATTCTGGAATATCTGTCGGACGGTGGGCACCATTTACTTTTCCAAGCTGAATTTATAGTTGAATAGTTATAGTTATGTATAGTTGGATAATAATACAATGCAATTAAAAAAAAGAGATCGGTCGCATTTCTCTTTGTGCTGGTAGGTGTGTTGGGCGCGATTTCTATTTCATTAAAACTGAGAAACTTTCACATAGAATTTTATTGAAAACTAAAACATTTTTTTGTGATCGCCATGGTGCCCGTGGACATAAGGATGGGAACCCCTGGTTTAGAGATTTGCGCTGAGAGATTTTTAAATAAAACGTGTTTTTGTGTGGTAGGGTGACAAGGGAATGTACACAGGTCCCGGCAGTCACTTCCAAACTATATAATCTCCAAACTTTTGCAGGATATACAGGTGAGTGTCATGGAATGTAAATGAAAATAAGAGTTGTATAGTGGAAAATTTGCTTTTTATATTTAATTATTATCAACTAAATACCTAATTACACTCAAACCTGTTTTTGTGCGGTATGTGAAAATTTCAGTTAAATTGGAGCATAATTGACGAAGTTATCAATAAAATCTGGCTACCGAGACATATACAAGAGTCTGGTGTAAACAACAATCGTCGCCAAAACTGATCACCGACTACATTGGTAACTGAAAAGAAGTCAACTCTTAACGAGCGCGATTTAGTATCTTCGAGTGACGAAAACGATTTTGAATCAGTTTACCACGAGAAAATTCGCGTATTGTGTAAGGATAATAATTATACGTTCTGTATGTGTAAAATAAGTACATGTGTAAATAAAATGTTTTAAAATGTTCGCATTTCTAAATCAGATTCTGAAAGGTTTGGCGAGATTCCAATTAGGTGCCAAGCCTTGTGTCTTGATTTCGTTTAAAAAAGTAATTCTTAGTTATTTCGTAAGGTTTTGAGTTATTTTCTACGTGGGACATTTTTTACGCGATCGCCCTTCACCACATAAAAAAAAAAAAAAAAAATACTTTTTACATGTGTTGCGAAAGCTTCGTGAAGTGTTGTGCGATTTGTTTTTATGCGGCCCATAATATCCACCGCGCGAAAACAGGTTTGAGTGTAATTACAAATAACAGACGATGCGTAATTTTAATTTTATTCTGGGGAAGCAATTTTTCTTTTGGGTTTAAATTTGTTCTTCCAGCTATGTATATCTGTAGACTAGCAAATCAATATGAGACAAAAATGGTGATTTAGTTGTACTGGTTAAAGACAATAGTTAAAACAAACTGTTATAAATCATTAGAGTTCAGTTATGTAATATATAAAATTATCTAACACTAAAATCAACAATTATATAAAATTAAGGTACTTTTTCGCCGGCTCAAATCTCGCCAAGCAGACTTTATTGGCGACAACATACAGTATACACATAAAAAATTTGTTCTAAAATTTTTTTTGTTTTTTTTTCTTTGGAAGGCATAACATTTAATATCGCTTAAAAACTTTATAAAAAGCCAATAATAAAGACAATTAAATTGTAAAAGACATAATTAGAATTTACTATGCTTTCATGTTCACATCCTAATTCCCGGTTCATATCACGTGACCCAAGCGATCTCATGAACGTAAACTACTCTACAAAAATCTATGCTCTCAGTATTACTACATTAATTTCATTAAACTTAATTTGGAACACAAGTTAAGGCAAAAATATTTCAATCGTACGACAGCTACTCGAAATTATGTAAAACTGCGTGCTTTACTACTATGCTCTCCATGATTGAATGAATTTAACCCTTGACTTACTTTTCTATATTTGGCTTCGGTAAGCGCTGGTGATTGCTCCTATGGCCTAATATGAAATGGCCGTAGACATAAAACTGACATCTGATAAAAATTCTATGTATTATATCCAGTATGAAAAAACAACAATTGTAATAAAAAGCTTGCGACTTGTTTTGAAAATGAGGCGTAAAAGGTCCACGAAATATCCTTTGGCATCGGTTGTACCATTATTGGCGACTTTATCGCTTGCGCCGGCAAAACGGAAAAGTACCAAAATTAATTAAAGTTTCTTGATTACAGATTACATAAGAATGTAAAATAAAACAAGAAACGTATGAAAATGATTTAAGAACTTTTCATGAATATGTTCTGTTTTTTTTTTCCCTAAAGTATGCAGGGGTACATTTAATGGAATTAAACAACAAGGGTAGTAGTAATAATAATCAATGCAATTTACTATACAACTGAATGTAGACTTTGCATCCCCCCCCGCTCCAAAAATGGGACAGTTCTATCGGGTTTTAGCGAAAGTTTCTCGCCACCGCCGAATATCGTCTGCGCAAACAGTTCCCTTTGGCGCGTTTAATTATATTTTGTCGAACGATTTAGGGCCCGTGAAAGAAAAAGACTTGCTTTAGAACGCTGTTGTGAAATTTGTAAAAAAATCTCGTTCAGTACAAGGTGTCTGAAATGGAATTATCGCGCTGCCAGATTAGAATCATCATTTACCTCCAGTTCTGTTGCAAAAAGTCAGCTACAGAATGTCACCAAATCATGGTGTATAACTTTAGGTACTTATGTTGTATCGTTAAACATTCTGAAGGTTTGGTAACGAAAGTTCAAAACGAAGGACTATGGCGTTCAAGAAGCAGAGCGCTTTGGCCAACCTACTAATGTTGGTGAATCCCGCCTGCGACAACTAGTGGAAGCAAGTTATTTGTAGACATTAGAGACATAGTTGCAGAAACAACCAGCCGAGCTCTTGCGTAGGAGTTAAGACACAGTGCCATGTCCATTAGTCGCGATATGAATCACATAAACTTGACGTACAAGTTCAATCGCTCGGTGCTGCATAAGCTGACTGGAGCAGATGAGGACAGATGTGTTCCGGCCTGCACTAATCTGCTCGAATATTAACGCAAGGACAAAATTCTGGACCGGATCGTCACTTGTGATGAAAAGTGAATTTACTTCAACAACACATGCCGAGAAGGGGGTTGGTCTGCACACGGGTGAGCCCGTCGGAAGCGTCGCAAAGCTCAATTTGACTCACAAAAGGATCATACTTTGTATCTGGTGCAACTGCCGTGGTATTATCCACAAAGAGTATCTGGAAAGATAAAAAAAACCATCGACAGTAAGGTGTGCAGTGAGATCCTAGTCCGTGTTGACGCTGCTATTATGGAGAAACGTCGAACTGAGCTCCGGCTCAAAACGGTAATGTTCCATTAAGGTAATGCAAGACCACATGTGTTTGCATTTACCAACTGAACTATATATGGACTCGAATGGTGGGATCGTTTGCCATACCCACCGTATATTCCTGACATGGCTCCTTCGGACTTTTACCTTTTTTCACACCTGCAGCTACATCTTGTTGGTTCTAGCTTCCATTCTGCGTAGAAAGTCCAAAAGGAGGTTGATTTGTTTTTGGACTCACGGCCACCAAGTTTCCGGACCGAAGGCTTTGAAAAACTCCAAAACCTTGGCAGAAAAATCATAGATTTCGATGGTGCACCAAAAAGGTACGACTTTCGTGTTTTTTTATTATGTATTTCGTTATTAATGATTTTATATATAGATATATATATATAACTTTATTAAGAACTTTTTTGGCGGAAATCTTTCGGTACAACTAGATATATCTCCCGTTCTACTGGGCCGATTGATGGGATTTAACTTCACATTTTTTATGTCTCGTAAGCACGACGTAGGATATATTAGATACATAACAATTGTTCTAACATAGGTAATTTGACATAAAATCGGACTTTTTCTGAAATACTGACCTATCAAAAGGTTTTTTAGGGACAAAAAAATGCTTATTTGTTTTAAAGCTTTAATGTTTTTCCACATCAACAAAACAACTTTTAGGCCTGGGTCAACTTACCAGTAACCTGCAGATTTTAGTAGATATTGAGATTTAAAGATTGAAATAATTGTTAGATTTCGGATAGTAGGTCACAAGGTTGTCTGATTACCGGTGAACTGTAATAATACAATTACGATTAGTTGAATAGTATTGGATAAGTCGTGTTGCATCAGGATCATAATTTAACTGTTAAATGGTCATTACGAAGTATGCAAGTTTGAATTCATTTCTCACCTATGGGTACCTTTCTGATACGAAACCGGACTGCTGTGAACGGTGAAACGGGTTGAGCTTCTCCGTACCTTTTATCTTGATTGACGACAATGGCTGAAAATCCATTCAGGTCCAAGTCTGATTCGGTAATTGGACTAATTCGTAATTCACGCCCCTGGCTACCAACCGCCATATTCCACATAGGCGTTTCTACAAGATTAAAAGATGAAAATGCAATAACAAACGCAAAAACATGCTACACTTAAATTTCAATATAGTCAGGAAATCGAAATATGATAGGAAATAAATAACAGGAAACATTATTATATATATTATTTATATAAAGTATAATTAAATAAATTAATATAAAATAAAATACAGCCCCCCCAAAAAAAACCCCTGACTTTTAGAGATTAATTACGTCAAGGGGCGTTTTTTTAACGTTTTGTGTGTTACTTTATTTTTAAAATCATGTTCTTGCACTTAAACCGGAAATTCGTCAGTATCATGTCGCAAATAATTTAAAATGAGCCTATATTTAGAATTACGATACACAGTCTCGCGCGATGGAGATAATTTTTTTTTTTTTTTTTTTTTTTTTCTTTTGTACATGTTGCCTTGCTCGCTTTGAAATCCTTGAGTGGTACTCAAAATCTTAAGTTTTACAAATATGAAAACGATAATAAATAAATTGAAATTTTGGGATTTCGGATGCCCTCTTCGCAGGAGAATTAGTCATTCAAAACTCGATGCTCTATGTACCGTGTTTTATCACATGCGGAAATTATACTAATTGATGCAGATTTTTATTATTTAATTTTCTTCAAATATAATGCAAGACCTCTAACATTTGGTGGACACCAAAGATGTAAGTAAGTCACATATTCGAAGTGAAACGGACATTTCATAGTGATTCAACGCAAAATCGTACGCAAACGGAAACAATAGTCCTCAGGAGACAAAGCCCCTTTGGACTAATAATTATATGTATATAAATATATTAACATATAATTAAATTTAATTATTATATTAACATGACGCCAGGAAAATGAAATATGAAATTTTGATCGTATATTTTCAGTATTGTGTGCACGCTTATTCTATCAGGCATAGACAGCTGACATGAAGTTGAAAAATTAGAACTTTATTTAGAATATTTAAACGATTTTTTTTTTTTTTTTTTTTTTTTTTTTTTTTTTTTTTTTTAGCCCAGAAGGGCTATTAATTTCGGTTTCGTATTTTGCCTTGGTTCACGATAAGCGTTGTTTCATTTTTCAAATTGTTGCCACCCAATATTACAGCTCTGCATTATATTTAAAGAAATTAAATAATGAAGAATTTGGATGAATATGTGTATGTTTCTTGCAATGTGTAAAAACAACGGCACCTAGAGACATCAAATTTTGAGTAACTTAGTCCTCCACTCAGGGCCGGATTTAGACTTGATAAAAGTCCCTAAGCTATTTGAGATATGGGGTCCTTTATAAGTCTGTTATACTATATTTTCATTTTATGAGGACCCCCAAGAAAGTGGGGGCCCTAAGCTATAGCTTATGTAGCTTATACGTAAATTATGCACTGCCTCCACTCGAATATGGGCATCTAGAAGCCGAAATTTGGAATTTGTTTTATTATCTATTTTAGAGTTTCTTAAACTGTGGGTTGCGAAAAATTTTAACAGTTTTGATATTTCTTTATCTTATTATAATATACCAAATATTTTAAAACAATGTATCTGAAAAGAGGTAAAGATAAGACAATACAGAAAGAGAAAAAACGAAAACTTGCCACCTTCTTTTTATATATAACGTTCATTTTCCTTGATTTGCACGTGACGCCGGCATTTCGTCCTTACTTATTTAAAATTTCACATTGTCTGGTCTTAAATTAGAAATTAAGTAATACCTAAAATTGCAATAGTATATTACAGTACAAGTAAAAAAATGGACAGTTTCACTCATGCGTGTGTCGGATTTGCGCAATACTTATGGAGTACCACAAAATTTTCCCCAAACATTATGGTGGTCCTGGGGGTCGCGAAAATAATCTCAGTGATAAAAAGGGATCGTGACTGAGAAAAGTTTAAAAAGTTTATCAAATTCTGGAAAAGGCATTGATGATTGTAAATTATAGCGTCTGTGCAGAATCGTGGCACTCTGAATATTTGGCGAGCCAAATGTCCTCTCGAGAGGTTGGTGGTTCGAGGACGGGGGGGGGAGGACCTTGGAACCATTCTTCAAAACTGACGGCGGAATTGAGCAAAATCGTAGTGTCACCTGTATGGTGCCCAAGCTGTTGCCAACGACAAGGGCAATCTTACCTGTTTACCACGATGAATTTCGTGGGCTTAGTCTGATGGACACAAGCGAGATTTGTCAAAACAACTGCTGTATACTTAAAGAAAGTATTTTCTGGCAGCACCGTGCGAGGCGGCTTCAGATTCACTGAAATTGCCCGATGTAGCATTGTATTAGTATCTTATCCGATGAGACTTGATTTAATTTGCAGCAGGATTCCAGATGCCAGTTCATCATGGAAAGGGTAAGACGCATTAGTAAGAAAAGTTATAAGGTATTTCTCCCGCCTTCTTGGCATGCCTCCGTGGTGTGGTGGTCTGCACGCTGGGCGCGTATTCCAGAGGTCCGCTGTTTCATTCCCGGCGAAGGCATCGCTAATTTTTCATCTTTCATGCTTCCAAAAAATACCTAATGTCTCTACAGTGGCACCCGAACTAAAAGGGTGTTGGATGATGAATCTCCACATCCAGGATTTGGCAATTGGGTCTCCTAAAAAACCGCAGTCGTCCTTTAAAAGAGGGAGTATATAAGGTATTTCTTCCGCCTTCTTGGCATGCCTTCGTTGTGTGGTAGACTGCACACTGGGCGCGTATTCCAGAGGACCGCGGTTCGATTCCCGGCGAAGGCGGTTGCTCATTTTTCGTCTTTCCTGCTTCCAAAAAAAACCTATTGTCTTTACAAGCTTTCAAATTTTACATTACGCCCAAAGGGCCAATCTTTGTAACGTTTCGTGGGTTACCTTTTGTTGGATGTATATTTAATATTTGCATTCCTTTTTTTCTTTGTATACTTTATTTTCTCACTGCTTAATTTTATGATATGATTTACAATAATCTTGTTACTGGCAACATGCTTTATTTTACTATTGAGTTTGTGTGAATGGCAACAGTTGTTCATGTTTATGTTTCATGTTAGCGTTCGTAGCCGCACTGCGCTGCAGGCAATTTTTCCCTAAAATATTTCCTGTTTTAGAATAGCCATAAAGTTTTTATTCAAAGCTGATGCTTTTTAGTTCAAGGCAACTAACTACCTTTATTTATTAAATATCAGGTTCTTCGCACATAAACCATCAAATTCAGTTCAATGGCAATATCGCAAAATAATTAAAAAATGAGCCTATCTTTAGAATTTCCGATACACAGTCTCAATCGCTACAGATTATTCCCCCCCCCACACACACACACACTTCCGTACAGCGTTGCGATTCCTCGCTTTGAAATCGTTGAGTTTCTTAATCAAAAATTCTTTAATGTCTGAGAAAATAGGAAATAGATAATAAAAGAAATTCCAAATTCTGGTTTCAAGATGCCCTTATTCGGTGGAGGATTACGTTATTCAAAATTGAGTGGTTGTAGGTACCGTTGTTTTATCCCAATGCGAGAAAACTTGCATACATTTATGCAGATTTTTCATTATTTAATTTATTTAAATATACTATAGGGCTGTAATAGTTGGTGGCTACAGTTTGAAAAGTGAATCGAGGAAACATGCCAAACGAAGTTAATAGCCCTTCTAGGCTAACGTGATTTGGGCTAATAATCTGCGTGAGGAAGTCCTAAATGACTTGACAAAAGCGTGCCACGAGGCTGTGATTGCTGTATCATAGCTCAAAGCGGATGCACTCTTTATTGAAAAGTGGAATCGGTTGATGCATCTTTCATCTAAATCCAACTCCTGTATGAACGTTTTTTCCGCCGAAGACGAGTTCTCTTTGCAAGAGGATGTTGATTATTATTTTGTATTAAATATCGGGAAATAGACCTCTTGCGATATTTGTCTGAATTCAGATGCGTAGCTAGGGTTTTGAGCGCCCGGGGCAACTGAAGATTTTGCGCCCCTTTCTGTGTGCCAAGAGTGGAAAACATTTCATTCTAAAATTTCATAACATCAATTTGGCGCCCCCTGGATGCTGCGCCCGGGGACAGCTGTCCCTCCTTGCCCCACTCTAGCTACGCCACTGTCTGTATTCAAGTACATCTGCTATATATACACTGAAGTGACAAAAGTCATGGCATACCTCCTAATATTTTGTCGGTCCTCTTTTTGCCCGGCGAAGTGCAGCAACTCGACGTGGCATGGACTCAACAAGTCGTTGGAAGTCCCCTGCAGGAATATTGAGCCATGCTGCCTCTATAGACGCGTCCATAATTGTGAAAGTGTTGACGGTGCAGGGTTTTGGGCACGAACTGACCTCTCGATGATGTCCCATAAATGTTCGATGGGATTCATGTCGGGCGATCTAGGTGGCCAGATCATTCGCTGGAATTGTCCAAAATGTTCTTCTAACCAATCGCGAACAATTGTGACCCGGTGACACGGCGCATTGCCATCCATAAAAATCCCATTGTTGTTTGAGTACGTGAAGTCCATGGATGGCTGTAAGTGATCTCCAAGTAGGTGAAGGTATCCATTTCGAGTCAATGATCGGTTCAGTTACACCAGAGTCCATGCCATGTAAAAACAGCCCAGACCATTATGGAACCACCACCAGCTCGAACAGTGCCTTGTTGACAACTTGGGTCCATGGCTTCGTGCGGTCTGCGCCACACTCGAACCCTACCATCAGCTCTTACCAACTGAAATCGTGACTCATCTGACCAAGCCACGGTTTTCCATTCGTTTAGGGACCAACCGATATGCTCACGAGCCCACGAGAGTCGCTGCAGGCGATATCGTGCTGTCAGTAAAGGGCACTCGAGTCGGTCTTCTGCTGGCATAGCCCAAGGAAGACAAAATTTCGCCGCACTGTCCTATCGGACAAGTCCCTCGTACGTCCCACATTGATTTCTGCGGTTATTTGACGCAGTGTTGCTTGTCTGTGAACACTGACAACTCTACGCAGACGTCGCTGGTCTCGTTCGTTAAGTGCAGGTGATCGGCCACTGCGCCGTCCATGGTGGGATGTTATGCCTGAAATTAGATACTCTCGGCACACTCTTGACACTGTGGATCTCGGAATGTTGAATTCCCTAACGATATCCGAAATGGAATGACCCATGCGTCTAGCTCCGACTACCATTCCGCGTTCAAAGTCTGTTAATTCTCGTCGTGCGGCCATAATTACGTCAAAACCTCTTCACATGAATAACTTGAACACGAATGAAAGCCCTGCCAAAGCACTTCGCATTTATACATTTTCTACGCGATACTACTGCCATCTGTATATTTGCATATTGCTATCCCATGACTTTTGTCACTTCAGTGTACTGTAAGGGCCCTTATTTTCGCGATCCCGTCGTAATCGCGAAAATTGAAGCCTGGCGAAATACTTTTTTTTTTCCCGCCTCAAATAATAATAAAAAATCAGAAATTTTTCACTTACCCAAAATTTAATGATTTATTGCAGAGTTACAAGCTTTTTCTCGACAACTTTCTTTCTTATAACTATTTTTTGAATAATATACAACTATATTTCTCGAATATAAAACTATAAAATTAATAGAAGGCAGCTCATTCATTTAGAATACTATTTATACGAGCTTCTTTGAAGCCATTCAAAATTATCTCATGTTTGGCTTCAATACCGTTAAATACGCGCCCAAGCCAAGAAGCGTGAATCGGTTTTAGTCGTAATAAGCCAAGAAGCGTGAATAGGTTTTAGTCGTAATATTCGCAAGTCCACAGATTCCTTTTCCTGAAGAAATTGAAACTCATTTAGAAATACCACTCAATAAACTCATTCTTGAGCAAACGCTTGAACTCGCCATTTAGGTGGGAACGGGGGAGGACAAACTTTTGGGACAAAAGGAAGTTTCTTAAAATGCTTTATGCAAAAGATGTACTTTTGGAATTTTTCAACTTTACTTATGTACTTTTGAAATTTTTCAACTTTCGGTTCTGTTCATAGAAAATTCGCGAAATTTTCAGCTCGCGAAATCACCGATATATTCATTTTCGCGAAAATAAGGGCCTCTACAGTATGCAAAAATGTTGCACAGACTTAAATTTTGGTCATTCCAGTGTTCGTACGTAAATGATAAGCAAACTACCCTTGCTGGAGAAAAGGAAATTGATTACTGATACACATAATTGTACAATAAAGATCTTGGAATGCTGTAAACTCTTGAAGGGATTTATGTTTAGAATTGTGGGTAAATGATGACGTACCTGGGTTAATAATCATTTCCTTTCTGCTTCGTGATTTTATTGAATAAAATTCTTGCTTCCATATAATTTTTTTCCAGAGATGACTGAATTCTCTATCGTTGCCCAAGGAAAGAACGAAGGTTACTGTGTCTCCCACGTTTCTGTCCAACCAGCAAGTTCTGCTTTTGCGATCCCAGTCGTCGCATGGATAGGCCGGAAGTAATACAGTCTTCCTCCTGAAAAAGCTGAAAAACAATAGGCTTTTCTGTATCACAAAACACAAGTTTTTTTTTTTTTTTTTTTTTTTTTTTTTTTTTTTTTTTTTTTTTTTTTAATCCCAAAGGACGTGCAGTACAGAAGGACTACTAATTTCGTTTTGACATTTTACATCAATTCGCTATAAACGGCGAATCACTTTTGAAATTGTTGCCACCAAATGTTATTATCTCTAAAAAAATTCAATAATGAAGAATCTCCATAAAATCTTTTTTTTGTGTGTGTGTGTGGCTAAATATAAAAACTGCATAGAATTATCGCCCTCATTTTTTCCATATGGCAACAGTGCTGAGTTCCAACGGTGAGCAGGCAAGTATACAATTGAATGAAAAACTGTTGCCAAAAACACATTTCCAAAAGAATGAAACTATTCAAAATGATACGATAAAATCGAAAAGATAAAATTTAAAACAAATCTGATTCGAATTTTGAAAAAAATCGCTCCTAGGTGCACAGCCTCTTGTCTAGATGCACTTATATGTATACCAAATTTCGTAACCCTGGGTCTATTAGCTTACGCGCAGCATTAACGAAATGTATGTATGCTTCTCGTACTGTGATAAAACTACGGTGCTTAAAGCCATCCAGTTCTGAATAACATAATCCTCCACCCGAATATGGGCAGATTTGGAATTTCTTTTATTTACTGCTAGCAGCTACGCGGCCAGCCTTCGTCTGACTTTTAAATGTAACGGGAAAATGCCTGATGGGAACACCAAACGTTAAATTGAAAAACTGCGCAGAATTTTATTGTCAGAACAACTTCATCAAAATAAATAAATAAATAAAATAAAACCACAAATTAAATATATGTATATGTGTGTGATGTACCAGCTTTTGTCCGGAATAAATAGATTGGTGAAGAAATATAGATGTAGTCGTAGCTTAAATTATCAGACGATAAGTTTCAAAAAGAGGATCCATTTATTATTGGTCAGGAGAAATAGCAGTTACAAAAATCAGATATGCGGAGTAAATAAAAGAATTACTTAATAACTTTTTGTATGAAGTTTACTGCATCGTTAACATTAAAAAAAAAGACCCCGATATTCCTTTGCGAGTCCTTTTATAGCCTCTGGAAAGGCGGAGCTTCCAAGAAAGGACGTCAGCCATTCCAGTTCACTTTAAATATATCCAGAACATTCTATAACTCTACGTATAGAAAAGGCGGGAAAAACAGCTTGACTACGGGGCTGTGGATTTAATTCCACGTACTTTCAAATAAGACACCGTCGCCATTAAAAATGAAAAGAACATACAGTTAGAATTTTAGACTATTTAGTGTATTTTTGACTATGGAATTTTATTATTACATATATATATATATATATTAGATATAAGAAAATTAAGGCATTTTTCCGTATTGCCGGCGCAGGCGATAAAGTCGCCAATAATGGTGCAACCGATGCCGAACGGAATATCCTCGCTGGTAACCTTTTACGTCTATTTTCGAAACAAGTCGCAGCCATTTCTTCAATACCGGCATACAGTTACATAGAATTTTTACCACATAATTCAATTTTATGCCCCAAGGCTATTCGCGGGCAGTAATTAAGTCAATTAGGATGCAATCACACCGCTCACCCGATGGCGAAAATACTGAAAAGGCAAAGTTAAGGGTTAATGTAATCCATTCTAATAAGAGTGCACTAGCGAAGTAAAGCACTGCGGTTTTACATAATTTCTGAGTAAGCTGTTCGTACGAATTGAAAGAATTCTTTCATTTAAACTTGTATTCCAAAGATTTGAAATTAATGTAGTTAATTACTGAGCGAATTAGATTTTTGTAGCGTAGTTTACGTGAGATAAGATCACTTGGGTTCACGTGGTATGAACCGGCGAATCAGGATGCTTTACCATGAAAGCATAGTAAATTCTTAAATTATCTTTTTAAAAAATTATTGTCTTTATTTACTGACTTTTTTACAAAATGTTAAACGACATTAAAAGAAATAAAATAAAGAATTAAAATAAAAAATTTTGGAACTAACATTTGTCTACATTTTTTATGTGTATACTGTGTGTTGTCGCCAATAAAGTCTTCTTGGCGAGATTTGCGCCGGCGAAACGGAAAAGTACCCAAAATTAAAATTACAATGAAATAAGCAATATCTCTTAATACAAATATTAATTATCATAACAAATAAATTAACCAACTTCCCGTTGCCTCTCTCCACAAACATCCAGTATCCGAGAGAAACATTAAATTTAAAAACTGCATAGAATTATCGCCCTCATTTTTCCATGTGGCAACAGTGCTGAGTTTCAACTGTGAGCAGGCAAGTATACAATTGAATGAGAAACTGTTGCCAAAAACACATTTCTAAAAGAATGAAACTATTCAAAATGATGCGATAAAATCGAAGAGATAAAATTTAAAACAAATCTGATTCGAATTTTGAAAAATATCGCTTCTAGGTGCACTGCCTTTTGTCTAGATGCACTTATATACCAAATTTCGTAACCCTGGGTCTATTAGCTTACGCGCAACAGGAACGAAAGACACACACACACTCTTTCTTTTATTATATGTAGAGATTTCATGTTTTATTAAGCGTTTATGAGTTTTTGATTAGGAAACTCGACTATTTCAAAACCAGCAATGGCAACACTGTAGGGAAAAGCAAAAAACATTTTTATCTCCTGCGCGCGAGACTGTGTATAGGAAATTCTTAAGATATGCTCTTTTAAATAGTTTTTGTGATATTTCTGTTGAATTGAATTTTATGCTTTAAGTGCAAAGAAAATGATATTTAATAAACAGAGGTAACACAATCGGACACTTGAATCATTTGCCGTAACTGATTTAAAATAAAAGAACCTGAAAGGTTTTAAGTTTTCCTATTAAGCTTTTTCTTTTCTGCTTTTTTTTTGGGGGGGGTAGGGGGCGATTCTTTTTAGCTTTATTATTTTCTTCGCACTTAGGTTTTATATACAATTCAACAGCAAAGCTTCAAAAATTTGGAAAGCGGCATAGCAATATACATTTAGAAGTTTCCGATACAGCATTAAGCATTGGTATGGATTTTTCTGTTACCCCCCCCCGTTCCTAGTTCACCAAATCGATGTCCAATTTTCTTATTAAAAGACGACTTTACAGAACTTTTATTGTCTTTTTATTTACCTTTCATTTGTTTACTTTATTTATTAAATATCACGTTTTTGGGTCTTACACTACATAAAATTCGATTCAACGCCTCTTTGGACGCCTCTTTGGACGTAACAACAAAATCACAAAGTATTAGAAAGCAGCATATCTTTAGAATTTCCGATAGAAAGTTCCGCACTGGAGATAAAAATGTTTAATTCCGTACAGTGTTGCCATTGCACGCTTTGAAAACGTTGAGTCTGTTAATTAAAATTTACAAAATATTACAAAATACAAATATGTACAAAATACAAATACAAAAATATTACAAATAAAACAAAATATAAAAGTTTTACAAAATACGTATGAAATAGATAATAAATTCCAAAGAAATTCAAAATTCAAAATTCCTGCTTCCAGGTGCCCCATATTCGGGTGGAGGACTAAGTTAGTCAAACATGGATAGCTCTCGGTACCTTTGTTTTTTCACAATGTGAAAAACTTCATGCAGATTCTTCATCATTTAATTTCTTTAACTATGATACAGGGCGATAAGGTTTGGTGGCAACAAACCTTATCGCCGTTAAGCCGTTTAAGGAAGCCGTTTATAGTGATTCAGTGCAAAATACCTTTGGTGGCAACAAACCTTATCGCCGTTAAGCCGTTTAAGGAAGCCGTAAAATACCTTTTTGACACTAATATCGCGTTCCAGACTAACGGTCCTTTTGGGCTTAAAACTTAAATAAATAAAATAAAATCTGAAAACCTTTAGATTTTATATTACGTCCAAAGAGGCGTTTTTTTAACATTTTGTGCGTTACATTTATTTATTAAGTATCATGTTTCTTTGCACTTAAACCATAAATTCAGTTCAACAGCAATATCAGCATATCTTTAGAACTTCCGACATGACAGTTTGGCGCGGTGGAGGTTTTCCCCCCCCCCATATAGTGTTGTCATTGCTCGCTGTGAAATCGTTGAATTTGTTAATCAAAAGTTTGTTGAAATTCTACAAAATATGAAATAGATAATAAACAAATTCCAAATTTGAACTTCCAGGTGCCCATATTCGGGTGGAGGATTACGTTATTCAAAATTTGATGGCTATAGGTGCCGTCGTTCCTTCACAATGGGAGAAACATACATACATTCACGCAAATTCTTCATTATTTAATTTCTTTAAATATGATACAGGGTGATATTATTTGGTGGCAACAATTTAGAAAGTGTTTCGCCACTTTCTAAATTATTATTTAGAAACTATTTTCTAAATAGTTTCTTTCTTTTTTTTTTTTTTTTTTTTTTTTTTTTTTTTTTTTTTTTGTGTGTGTTGTGTGTGTGTGGCGTTTCACTATTTTACTAAATAGTGAAACGCCACAAAATGCCGTTTTGAGACTAATAGCCCTTCTCGGTCCCCCCCCCTTTTGGGCTAAAAAAAAACCCTAACACACCAGGCTATTATTCTTAAAACCTTAGTTTTAAGGATTTTGTACATTATTTTTGTAATATCTGAAAACTGTTCTAAACTAGTATTGGCAATAAGCTTTATTATTATTAGAATGTGCTTTTCAAATCCATACATTTTTCTTTTTATGTAATAAAGGCTTATTACCTGTGTTTGACGTGCGTACGGTAAATAAAAGCTCCCTTCATAGTTTGACGGTACAGGTGGAACAGTAATGCTTTGGTTTATTTTATTACGGCAAAGCACGCGAGGGCTATCTGCCTTAAGTGGAGGAATACCTTCCTGGACGACTTACCGAGGGAAGTTGGCTCGTATACATGGGAAAAATCCACGGAAATGCCCATGCAGCTAGGCCGTTCGCCTGGAATCGACCCCCCCCCGGTCGAACAACCAGTATTAAGCGACTTTACTGCTCG